TTTCAATACATTTTTCACTCTCCTAAAATCGCTGAAAAAACTACTCAATGTTTCCACTTGATGAGCGACGTCCATTCTCGGAAGATCCGCAAATTAATTTTTAGCGGTAATAAGGACGAGACAAGGAGAAGGGACGTTAGAATTGAGAGAGGGGTTGCGCGCGCGCGAGATTTACGCGTTGCGGCGATATTAATGAACGACAAGATATCCCGGCGTCATCGTTCGTCACGTCAGCGACTATCGGAACGCGCCGCCACGTAAACCCCGGGCGCGTCATCCTCGAATAATTTGTCACGACGCGAGCAATAATTCAGCGAACGACCTCTCTCTCTCTCTCTCTCTCCCCCCTCCCTCCGATCCCTCGCACGCGGTTGTTGGCTTAAACCGGCAATAATAGCTGGCCATTTGTCAGCGAGGGCCACGCGCGCAAACCTAACTCGGTAGAGAAGAGATCCTTGTCGTTGGAGGTGAGAGAGAGCCCGCGATGAGGAGCCCAATTCTCGCTGCTCCACTTTCGAAAGTCCGGGGAGGCGGGAGCGAGGAAAACAGGAAACAGGAAAAGTTGGCCAACTGTAAACTGTCGCGAGAGAGGAAGAAACCCAGACTCGGACTTTCCGCGCTCGAGGGAGATGGAGGGAGGCAGGTAATGCGAAATTGAATTAACGTCCCGGGCGGCTGCCTTGTTACGCGTCCTTGTACTTGCAATTAAAATGATAACTTGTAATTAAAACGATAACACATTCAAGCGTAATCAAAAAGCGGTGCGATCGCTGAAAGCGCGTTTATCTGTAAAATTTGCATCGGTATTGATTAACTATCTCTATATTTAGTTATTAAATGAATCAATCTGTGTAGATGAAATATTTCTGTGGTATCCCGTTCATGCATTTGTCATGTAATACTAATTCCAACATAATCATTTTCGTTAAATTAAATTTTAATAAAGCAGAGGCATTAAACGTATTCTTTACGAAATCACTGTATGTATAATATTTTCTATATTTTTGATCTGGTCAAAGAATCCACGGATAAAAGGTTTTTTCATGACATATTGTATATTAATTTATTATATTTATAATTAATTTCAGTTTTATTCAGTTACATTAAACTAATGAAAATTTAACATATATCTTTCGAAATTTTTTTTTTTTTAATTGATCCGTAGATAAAAAGAGCGATGGTATTTTTACGAAACATACATATACATTTTGTAATTGATATACATATAATATTAATTTCACAGTTTTAATAAATATTTGAAACTAGAGCATTTAAATTCTACTTTCCAAAAGTATCGCGTTAAATGTATTCATTTCGAGATTATTTTTTTTTACATTATGATTAAAAATGTTTTACATTACGATTAAAAAGCGATAAGATTATGAAAGAAGTGAATATGCGAAAGTGCGATGAAAAGCTAACAGCTTGCCGGATTCATAGAGCGATAGGCTCCGCTCTAATTCCTTCCTTTTACGATACCGTATCGGTAGGGACTTATTTCTGCCTCAATAAGCGGATATATCCCTCTGTGCGACTACCGCGGCGACTGATTTACCGGGTGGATTCCGAACATCTGGAGCTCTCTCTCTCTCTCTCTCTCTCTCTCTCTCTCTCTCAAAGAGAGAAAAGACGCGGGATTGCATTACGTGGGCTCGCGCAAGCCGCGGCGGGGGATGAGGATCCTCCTCTACCTTCGCAATTGGCCACGTTATTTCCGGGCCATCTCGCGCGGGGTTTTCCAGCCTCGGATCACGAAACAAAGGACCGGATGAGCCGAGTATATGACCGGTTAAATCGGAGGAGAGGCCTCTCAGACGAGCGCCATGATTCGCACTCCGAATTCACCTCGAGCAAACTCACACGCCTTTCCTGATTGGAAACCCCTTCGCGACTTCCATTGCGTGTTTCCTTATGCTTTCAATCGTTTATGTCGTTTCAATACATCTTGATTTAAACTTCTTAGCTCAGTTCTTTTACTGTTACATAATTTTCTAACATTATACGAACCACTTTATTTTATTGTGATATAAAATATCCTTTAGAAAAAATTATTTCGAGGGAAAAATTAATAAATTCGTCTATGTATTTTCTATCATTTCTATAAATATAATTTATCTGGTTTTAAATGTATTTTAATCTCAAAATTATTTCTTACAAAAATTATTTAATCGCGAGGCAATCTTTCACGATCCAGAGCTTCATCTGCCGCATTATCTCACGATTCGTTCCAATTTCGTGATTCTTACGCATATCCTCAATTGTTCTTTTGTTTCCCGTTTCCGCTCGCTTCTTTCCGGTGTTATCGTTACTGTTTGCTTCGACCGGAGCTATACAAGCGGATATCTCTGCGGCGAGGTTCTGTATAGTATTTTGTTTCGAAACTTCCTATCGAGTTCGATTCCTTCCGCGAATCCGTTCGACGAACAGAGAGCACACTTCCTCCGTCTCAAACCGATACCCCGAACATCATCGTCCTCGCCGGAGTTTAGAAACCGGCTCGAATCGCATCGCGAAGAAGCGGCCTCGCTGACCTCCCGCTCGACCTATATTTTCCGCGCCAAGTCCATCGGGAAATCGGGTGTTGCCCAGAAGTTTCGTCGAATCTTCCCCGATCGATGCCACCTTTAATTCTTCGAGCACACACAAAAGAAATACAAAACTATTATTAAACTATTATTATTAAAACTATTATCCTGGCCCTCGAAAAAAGTCCTTACGTGAAACAATAAAAACTCAGCAAAAAATTTTTCCCAGCTGGTGAAAACTGCAGGTTAGCAGATATGCGCGTTTCGATCTCGACAGAGATCCCGAAAATATGTATCTCCAAAAATACAAGAGAGCCGTATAGAAAAATATTGACAAAATTCGAATCTGTGTCTATGTGTTACATGGCACACAGCACGCGGGCTAAAAAAGCATCCGCGAGCGAAACTCGGTCGCTTCCATGACGCTGTTGCGACGAGCGAGAAGCGAGTCCGGACGGACGGACCGGTCGACCGGAGATAGTTAATCTTTATTACGGGAACAGCTGCGTCGCGCCGCGGTTCTCGCCGCGTAGATGTCAGTTAAGATCCGGGGTGCGGTGCCGTCGCGTTGCCACGGCCGCTTGATAAGGTATGCACATGGAAAAGCGGGACCCCGCGTTGCCCCGGGATGCGCAACTTTCGCGCGCTCGTACATCACCAGGCATCTCTGGGAGCGACGGCGGCGGCGGCGGCGACCGCGGGGAAAGAATTTACAAGCCGAAACGCGCCGCATTCTTTACCGCCGCGGTTACCGCGAAGTTTCGTTTCGTCGCGAATATCACGACGGCGTGCCAGCGCGAGATAAAGTCTGAAGTACGACTTGAGGTTGCAGTCGCGGTTTGCGAGTCTGCCGGGTTCGTTATTCAGCGACGATATGACACTCGATAAACCGCTGTGAGAGAGGGAGAAAGAGTGAGAAAGAAGGAGAGCGTGAGTATACTCGCGATTATCGCGGATGATAATTTCGCGCCTCGTTGGCGAAAAGCAATAGCGTGGACAATCGCAGTTAAGTACCTGCGAATTTAAGCGAAGTCTAAATGTTTTATTTTTGTTTTGCAGTTAGTTATCTTGTTAAATGACTTTTTTGTTCGCCGACCGTTTTGATAAAGCACAATAATTACAAAAGCTTTTTGAAAATGAATTTATTACTCACAATTTATATATCTATATTACTCTCGTGAAAAATGATATCAGGTCTTTTCTGTAACGAAAAAATTTTCTTGTTAAATAATAAAAATATAAATTATTACATTGGAAGTGCAATGTGAATTGAATGCGAACGTAAGTACATGTATGTTAGTGAATGCAAAAGGGGGATGTGTGTGAAGAACTTCTATCTCATTCGGCGAAATCGACGGAATTCTGAGGAACAACGACGAGACATGTACTTGCTTCGCCTTCTGCTCGCTGCCCACCTCCGGTGGATGAACAGAACAAATACTAGGAGTAATTTACAGCCGTGTTTGCTTGAAAATTCATGCCGGACCGCGCTCGACGCGACGCGGCATCGCGCCGCGCCGCGGAACAAATGTGCTCGGAGTAATTTATACCCGTTTACTTAAAAATTCCATTAGTCCGACGACGTCCGTCACGTCTGGCATGAAAACCTTTCGTCGGTGTTTGTTTATTTTGATTAATTAAATTCCGTGCACGCGAGAGAAAGAGAGAGAGAGAGACACACACACACACAGAGACAGAGAGAAACTCGCAAATCCGACTGGTATGATTATCGGTTCGTAAGCATTCTAGTGTTCTTCCAGCCATCGACTTTTCGTTATTCCAAAATGTTATTCTAAAATACCCTGGTAGTCGAAAGTCCAAAAAAAGTAAACTTTTAGAAATGATTTTTATAATTTGAGGTTCAGTTATATGAGAATTGTTATCAAAACGTAATTCGTAAGCGTGTTGTTCCTTTGAATTCGTATCATAAATGCAGCATAGTTTACACTACACATTTAGATAATCTATTCCTCTCTCTCTTTCTCTCTTGATTCTGAAAAAGAAAAGCGCTAGAAGCGATTATCAAAACGTGTTCGTATAATTCGACGAAGTGGCATTGCCCGACGCACCACGTAAATTCACCTCGGGGCGACGGTGGGTGGGAAAAGGGCGACGGAAAGCGCGGAAAGAGCGCGACTACGCGAGGGAGAGAAGTGAAAAGGGAAACTTGACGCGCGCGAGGCCGCGTACCGTACCGATGCGGACGTGCCTTTTATTACCGCATGCATTTAAATACAAAGAGACCCCCGGTTCGTCGACGGCGCGCACGCTACTTCTATGGAATTTGTCGGATATTCCTGAGGGAAGCTGCGTGACGCGCGCGACCGCTTTCTCCCGCGCGCGGGGGATGCACTTTGTGCACACACAGTCCCGTTCGCGTCCCTTTTCCGTCTTTTTCTCCTTTTTTTTCACAAGCGACGGTCCGCGCGCGCGACATTTCTCTCTATTCATATCTCTCTTTTTTTATTCTTGCAGGTGAGTATCACAGACGAGATCCAACCGGCGGAGAAGCGGCTCTTTCGTTACTCGCGTGTGCACAGACTCAAAGAAATCCAGACGCCCGCGCGAGTCGCGCCAGCCACGGAGGAAAGCCTCGTCGAGACGATGCACATTAGCGAGAGTAACAGTGAGTCGAGATTTACGATATTACAAAAATATAAAAAGCTGAATAATTCGCACGGGGGAGGTTGAGTTGAGTTACGGTCAGAGCGATTTGAGCGAGTAAAAAATTAGATATTTCCAAGATGATGTCTTTGAAAAAAAAAATTGATTGCTCGACTGAGACTTTTAATTGGGAGTGTATTTTTCGATAGACAGCAATTCTTGTCCGTTGTGCAGAGAAAATTATCACCCATTGTAATTACCTCGTCGTTCTGCACTTTTCGCGACTGACTCTTCGTGTGTTTAAATTTATTCGCCTCGTACTCCGGGAGATCCAATAAAGTACATCCAGTATAAACACCAATAAGTCGGGTCCTTAACCGTTTCTCGCGAGAGAGACGCTCCAGACGAAGGTAAAGGAATCGTAACGACGTTCGACTTGTACGCTCGTTTCTACCTCCCCTTATCTCGTTCCGGCAAAGACGAGAGATAGTCGACCGGAAGACGTGGAAATGGCGAGAAAAGGATCGCATGGGGGTGGGGCAGCAATTACCGGCGCGAGTTCTCCTCGAGTTTATATCAGGTGTCAAACCATTAACTCGTCGCGATGCCGCCTTCGATTCCTTTCGCGCTCGTATAGCCCGGGCTGTTTCTTCTCGTTCATGAATCGTCACGAATGGAACTCGGCGAGATCCACTGAATAAGTAATTTCTAAGTGAGGAAAGGTCGATGAACTACTAATCGCGGACTATTTCGATGAATATCGATCGCGCTTGATTTGAGCATTAAGCACACAATATATAATTTATAGAATGTCTGAAAGTTATTTCGAACCGGGATCTTATATTTTTCTCTAGTGAGGAAATAACTGTTTATTCGTAATAATCGAAATTAAAAAGGGTATAGTAAAAAATCGTATGACCGATTGTCCAGATATTCGATTTTTCCCTTCCTTTTGACAAATTCAAAGGTTTGAAGTCCGTTACTGTGACCGAAGTGTCTCGATCGCGGCGAAAGCGAGAGAATCCCTGCAGGCACGGCCGATGAATTCGCGCGAATATATCTCCAACGATGATAATGGAATCACGTAACCGTCCCTTGGCGTTTTGGCGTCGTTCTCAGCGGTGCGGGATCCCGCGCAAGTAAGTACCAGACTCCGGTACCACGTGGTCGAAGGATGCTGGAACGAGTAATGCGATCTCGTGAAGCCTCCTCGTAACGCAGTTAGCATGGTAGGGTCAACTCGCTAGCGACTCTAATAATTCGTGCCGCCTGTAATACGAGCCAGTCTCATAGGTCGCAGGTACATCAGTTGTCTCAGGGGTGGTCAATCTATTTTGGTAACTGCTAAAGTATCACTTTCACTTAGAAGAGTTTCATTGCGCACGCATAGTGTTATCTAACAAGATCGCAACAAAAAAAACTTTATTATAATTTTACTTTATAATATATCGACATTCTTAATTCTTAATTAAAAAGAAATGTAATAAAAGATGTATTATATATCGCAAAATTATTATACAATATTTATAATATTCTAAGATATAATTCGTTTATGTATAACGTTTTATTAAATATTATCACGCAACAAATTAATAATCCAAGAATAATTAACTTGAAAGATTAGATTTTCAACACTTGCATTACCAGACAACAATGCTTTTTGACTTGTTGCTTTAGACAAATAAAATTTGTCAGATATAACAATATTCTTGTATCCATTAGAAAGATACGAATGGCAAAGTTGGTTGATCACCCTTACTCCGTCTGTTCAACTCTCGCATGTTCTCACGTTCTTATCGTTCACACAGCATCCGCTGCATGATCCACTCATGACGGCCTTACCGTGAATCACTGATGCAGACCTCGGATACAGTCATATAAATTTGGATTTTGAATATGTCCTTACTTATAATTATAATTTTGTTAATAAATTATTCGACAAATTATCTAAAATCAACAATAAACTAATTAAAGATATTTTGTTATAATAAGCAGAGTTTTGGATCTGATTTAGAATAATTGTTAAAATAATTTTTAATATTGTGTATTAAATATATTATCAATATAAATAAACTAAAAATGCGCACTGAACATGTTCAAAGTTCGTTCTATTTGCAAAAACTCAATTGATTGCCTATACTGAAAATCAATATCTAAATTATCTCCTGCGTCGCAGAAAAAGAGATCGCCCGCGTTAACTTCGTCGAAGAAATTTGATCATTGAAATTTGATGTCGCGCACTGGCGCGGTGCGCCCTATACATACTCCGTTTATTAGACACCCGAGTTACTCGGTCGCAGACAGGTAGGCACCTTAATGGAGTACATATGTACGCTCTCTACCGCCTCTGTTTCCATCTCGTGGAGAAGACGCTCCTCCTGGTCACCGCGACGTCCCAGGCGCGATAGTTCTGAGATACGCTTAAGACTTAATTGAATTCCGACCACCGGCAACTTGGAGTTGCCCAGTCTGTCTCGCCGGGATAGGTAGATGGTCGCCCTTACCTAAATCACATCGCCATTTACCGGAAGCGTGGAGAGGAACGCGCGCTCTCTCCCTCCCTCCCTCTCCCTTTCTCTCTTTCGCGATCGATGAATCAAACGCAGCGGCGGCGACGGCAGCGGCGGCGTCGTTCTTCTCGCAAAACGAATGGAGATCAATGGCGACGTGACCCAAATTTTTTCACCATCGACGCGGCGATTTATTCGCGGCCTTCCCTCGCGCGCGCGAGTACGAGCACCCGTGCGGAAATTCGCAGTAACGAATCGCGGGTAATTGCACCGCCGGCGTATTTCACTGTGATCGAATCGAATTGCATCGTGATGTCGACGCGTAGAGAAGACAATGGCTGTAATTATCCGGCCTGATTGTTTGTAAAAACAAATGATTGATACACGTGAAAAAATATATATGATCACGGAATATCGAGGATATACGATTATGTTTGTGTAGGAGGTTTCTTCGAATGAGAGTTTTCCCCCGATTTCGACAACTCTCGAATCGAACATTTCGTTTCTCAATGTCTTCTATTTTGCTGCGTTCACGGGACTATCTTGAACGCACGCCCGCACTCCATATCAATCAATCTTGCAACTTTAAGATCAGTCTAACATCATTACAGTCATCTCATCCTTCCGAGTGGTATTAAAAGCTACCCACGCGAGAGCGAGTCGCTCTGTGACGGATGTGCGATTCGAAAAAAGGATTTCCTTTCCCTGCGTTAACGTTTTCGCACGCGAAGATCGATCAGCGTCGGTTGTCAGAACGCCAAGTCAATGCCTTCTCTTCCTTCTTTCCACCGTCCCACCTTACCCCCGAAACGAATCCCTCGTGAATGTAAAGGAGGGTGCGCGTAACGAATGATCCACTAAGAAAATTCTCGCGGCTCCTTCGGGGATCCTTTTTTTTTTCGAGGTTGCTGATCGACCCGGAGGGAAAGAATCGGTCGATTCGAGACCTCGCCTCGGCGCATGGGGGAAAGGGTGGATGAGAGGAACCCTCCTTTTGAAACACCCCCCTCGACCACCCGCGCGGTTTTCCTTCGTTTTCCCCATCCTCGCGCGACACCTCGCATTCATCGCGGCAATAAATGCTGAAAACAATTCCGGCGGCGGGATGTCAAGTACTTGGACAGAAGCGCGGGAAATTTTGCTCATTAGCAGCGCTTCACTAAGAAGGCGAGAGGGTGCTTGATGATGCTGCCACTCGCAGAGTTTTCGCGTTTTGATAGAACACTGCGAGCGAACCGCGTCAGTCTGGAAATAAATATGGATTCACCTTATTAATTAGAGATGAGAGAGACAAGAGTTTATTATTCTAAGTACTGGAAGATACGTATAGTATAATAAACACAAATATAATTTTTCGTAATACTCTATTATACATATAATATTATGTTATTTCTATTATAAATTAATATTTATTAATTATTTATTAGATATCTATAGACAGAATATCAAAAACAAGAGAAGAATAGGAATAATATAATTTTCTTATAACGTTTAAATAAATAGTTTCAAGATAGTAGTACTTAAAAAAATTTTATTTTTATGCGTATTAAAGAGAAGTTAAGAAGAAATATAAAATATAATTATTATTTTAATAATAATTGTTATTTAATGATACAATAATTATAATTTTGTGAAACATTTAACATTAAAAATTAAAAAATTTTACGAATTGAGTTTATATAATATTTATAACAAAGAATTTTTTTTATATAATGAAATCTACAGTCACGAGATATTATGCGCAATAATTTCAAAAAGAAAAACGAATAAAAATTATATTTGTTTTGAGAATCGATGAATGTAACAAATTAGAACTAATGATAGAAGCGATGAGTCAGCAAAGTATTCTAATGAGATGGGGTCTCGCAACGTTTCAAACTCGCGACCAACCCTTCCCGAGTTATACGGCTTGATATATATCAATTGACTATCGACAAGTCAAGGTTGACGACGGGAAAATTTATTTCCATGAAAATGTCTAGCTACCTGGCGATTTACCGTCTTCAGCGATTTGCATAAATCCCGGACGTTCACGTTACTAAATCAGACCTCGTGCGACCCGATTTATTCTCGTTAACTTCTCCGTTTCACGATCGTCTAAGATAACATATCTATGTAAAGGAGGACACCTAAATTACGAATACAAAGCTGCACGGCGTGCAGTTTGAACGTTATCAGATCTCACGTAATATTTGATGACGTACAATTTTTTAATTACGTGAATTAATATAAGTTAAAAAATTTCACGTAGCTTTGTCACGTAGCTTGATCTGTTACGTGTTTCTTGTTTTATCCGTGATTAACTTATTTTTCACGCTCGCGATATCTATTCCATTGTATTAGAATCCGTAACAATTAACGCAAGACGAAATTAACAATTAACACGACGAATCGTAATTACTTCGGGAAAAGAGATGAAGGAGGATGATGTGGCAAACAATTGTCTTATTTCTAAAACAATTAATGAGCACTCGTCATTAACTAACATCAATTACTACTGTTTACTCTGTGTTTCTTCTTATGTGCACACGCACACTTTGGTACACGCAATGTTGTCATCTACCCAATATATCGAGAAGGAACAGCAGGTACCAGTCACCTGCGCTTCTTCCACCTTCCTCCTAACGACGTTCCACGAAAGAATAATACAAATCCCATGGGATACTTCGGGGTTTACGAGCAACCACCTCGTGCATCTCTCTCGCTTGTTCTATTTCTTCGGTTTTTCCTCGCTTCTTCTTGCCGGTGGTCGGAACTCAGTCGTCTTTTCTTTCCGAGCGTGGCCAACCGAGACTCGATTGTGTTTTTACTCCCCTCCTTCCCCTTCCCTCTTGCGGGCTTGGGGGATGACGGCGGGTGGTAAGAACTGACTTGGATACCTTTATCGCGATGACACCCTTATTCTCCTCGTCGTTGTCGCCGTCACACGCGTCCTAGAAAAGAGCTATCCTAAGCACGCTATAAAGTCTACACGCCGCGATGTTGGCTAATCACCGCCGGCCCGTAAGAAACCCGCGGGATAACGCCGTAATAACGTGATTCGCCGTGACTTTATTGCCGGGACAGACGCGAGAATTTATAACGAACTTCTTATTCCCCGAGCAATCGTCAGACGAAAGTCGAGAAGCGTGCTTTTCTCTCAGAGGGTTCTCCATCGCCGACGAAAATTTTCCGTCGTCTCCTATCGAGGAACCGTGAAATTGAAGAGAAAAAATTTAATAAAAAATAATCATAATAATAATCGTAAAAACTAACTATCAGATATATATATTACATATTATTGATATCTCCCGCATGCCATTAGTATCGTTTATTAGATACGAATCTATCTAGAAAATAAATAAAGAATATCTCTACTCGTTTTAAAAAATTATTTCTTGGTGGATATTTCACGGGTTTACACTATAAGATTATTTTATTTTTTCAAGTTTGTTCAGTTTAGGACCGAGCGACGCGATTAAATTCTCTTTATACGTTTTCGGGCGAACATCCAGCGGCAATGGATGACGGGACAGGGCGATTTTCTTATCGCGGTATCTGCGTCGACCTTACATGCGCCGAAATGAGTTTCGGCGAGTTGTAAAGACGGGACGACGCGTCGCCTCGCGATAGCAAACGAGGCTAATCTCGAGCGGAGGCACGTTTACACGCGCGCGGGATAAGGGAGGTGGAATCGGCCGTAGCAGCTGTACCATTGAGAAGGTACGTTACACGATCCCTGTCCGTAGAACAGAAGGCCCGCCGTCCGCGCGTTTTACGATGCTCTCGCAACGACATAGAACGGCAAGGACAGGATGCGACGCTAATTATCGTCACCGTGCCTTCTGGCATGCTAG